TCCTGCACCCCCAGCATCCCCATGTCTCACTCTTCCTGGGGTCTGTGGGGTAGGGTGTGATGCCCACAATATCATGTGAAGGGCAGTGATATGACACCTCCCGGAGTTTGCAAAAGGTTGAAAGGAGAATACATGGTCCCAATGCCATGAGTATAACACATCTCCTCTTAAGCCAAGGCCAAGGGGAAAAAGTTGTCAGTGCAGCTGAAGCCTTCCATTCTTGTCAGAGCCCTCTGCCTTCTCCTCTGCACGCTTTCCTATGCTCTTCCACACTTTTCTGAAGGCTGCAGACAACCACTTCTCTTCCCTACCTTGCTCTCACTCTGGTATTCCCATGATTTCACTGCTGCCTCTCCACTCTCATGAGCTGTTCCTTCAAACACAAGGCCATGGGCTGATCCAAACTCCCTCTGGGTGACCTCTGGAGCCACAGCACAAGTGTCAGTGCCTCACCTCCAAGTCAAGAATTTCTTCTGACTATCAAATCTAAATCTACACTCTTGAAGTTTAAAACCAGTTCCCTTGCGCTATGATAGAGTCATTGAAATCATAAAAACACAAATTTGGAAAGGACCTACAAGACCATTTAGTCCAACCGTCCTATCACTAATACCACCCACTAAGCTACTAAGCCATATCTCCTAGCACCTTGTCCTGGTGCTTCTTGAACACTGAGGGTCAGTGACTCCATCACCTCACTGTGCAGACCATTCTAGTGCCTGACTACTCTTTGAGAGACAAAGTTTTTTGTGATATCTAGTCTAAACATCCCCAGGCACAACTTGTGGCCATTTCCTCAAGTCCTATCATTAGTTATCTGAGAGAAGAGGCTGACCCCCACCTCATCACAACCTCTCTTCAGGAAGTTGTAGAGTGCAATAAGGTCTCCCCCGAGCCTCCTCTTCACCAAAGGAAATAATCTCGGTTCCCTCAGCCACTCCTCATAAGACCTGTGCTCCAGTCCCCTCAACAGTTTGGTTGCCCTTCTCTGGACATGTTCCAGGACCTTGACGCCCTTGTTGTAACAAGGGTCCAAAACTGAACACAGTGCTTGAGGTGTGGCCTCACCAGAGCCGAGTACAGGAGGATGATCACCTCCCTGCTCCTGCTGGCTGCACTATGTCTAGTACAGGCCAGGATGCCCTTGGCCTTCTTGGCCACCTGGGCACACGGCTGGCTCATGTTCAGCCGAGCATCCATCAACACTCGCAGGTCCTGTTCCTCTTCACAGTCTTCTAGCCACTCTGCCCCAAGCCTATAGCATTGCATGGAGTTATTGTGGCCAAAGTGCAGGACCCTGCACTTGGCCTTGTTGAACCTCATCCCATTCACATCAACCCAGTAATCCAGACTATCCAGGTCCTTCTGAAGGGCCACCTACAGATCCTCATGCGGATCGTCACAACTTCCCAACTTGGTGTCATCTGCAGACTTACTGAGGGTACACTCAATCCCCTCATCTAGGTCATCAATAAAGACATGAAACAAGATAGGTCGCAGTACCGACCTCTGGGGGACACCACTTGTAACAGGATGCAAGCCGGACTAACCAAAAATCTTGGTTAAAATCTCCGAGGAGAGACATTATGGGCTGCAGAAGGACAATGGTAGCAGTGTCACAGATAATCATAGAAACATGGGATCATAGAGTCATAGAGTGGTTTGGGTTGGAAGGCATCTTAAAGATCCCTTTATTCCAACCATCCTCCTAGACCTGGTTGCTCAAAACTCATTCCAGCCTCTCTTTGAACACTTCCAGGGATGGGACATTCACAGCTTTTCCAGGAAACCTGTTCCAGTGCCTCACCATCCTAAGAGGAAAGAATTTCTTCCATATATCTAATTTAAATCTGCCCTCTTCTAGTTTAAAGTATTTCTCCTTGTCCCATCACTACACTTCTAGACAGACTGCCTCCCCAGCTTTCCTGGAGGTCCTCTCTAAGTACTGGAAGGTTGCTCTGAGGTTTCTCCGGTACTAAGTATCACAGAATCACACACAGAATCACAGAATTTCTAGGTTGGAAGAGACCTCAAGATCATCGAGTCCAACCTCTAACCTAACACTAACAGTCCCCACTAAACCATATCCCTAAGCCCTACATCTAAACGTCTAAGTAGTACCAGTTCTCTCAGCACGCCTTCATAGCAGAAGTGCTCCAGCCCCTTGATCGTCTTTGTGGCCCTCCTCTGGACCTCTTCAAATAATTCCATGTACTCGAACTGCCCTGTTAAACCACAAAAGTCTTTTTGGCACACGGTGTGGGGCACAAAGGGTTGAGATAAGGACAGATCCTTATCCTTTAGCACCACAGAGTGCTAAAGTTAAATTGTTATAATCATTAGACCAGTTTAATAGTTGCTGATCACAAGGTCGACATTTTGGATCTCAGGTCTGTTGGGCTTTCATTCAGAAATGAGTTGTATAGCACATTACTTACTGCCTGTGTTCCCATTGTGCTGTTTATCATTTTTGGGTCTGGTTTAAAGTTATTTTGCTATGTTGTGTAGCACTGGCTTATGAGTCTATAAAATTACTGGTCATGTGACAAATCTGTTCTTTGTACTGAGCATTGCCATCACGTCCATTCCTCAGGAACCATCACTCAGAAAATATTAAGAATTACACTCTTGGCCTTTTTGCTTTAAGGAGCCAATCTAGGGGGAGAAAAAGGAGGGACACTTCTCCACTACTTCACTCTCTCTTTCTCCTTCACCTCACCCTTCTCCTCCAGGATAATTACACTACCTCTACAAAGCTTTGGATATCCATGGGATGGTCCTACTGTGATGTCTCCTGAATGTGGTTCAACTGTTGTTTAAGGATAAATAACTCTTGAAGAATGCCCTCCAGAGACCTGTCCCAAGGCCGGAGAGTGAGGAGTGGCAGGGAGCATGGGAGGATCTGGGCAGGCACCTAGAGCAGTGGGCACTTCCAGTGCTTTGGAACTTCCCCCTGAGCACGTGCAGAATCCTTAAAAACTGCAGAAGTGCTTGAAAAGGAGGGGTTATCACCTTGGCAATTCCAAAGGGAATTCCAAAGAGAGACTCAGTCAGTGCCACTCCAAGCCCTGGGACAGGCCCTGCAGCTACTCCAACACCTCTGACATGTCCCGCAGCCACTCCAGACCCTGGGACAGGCCCCAGACTAGACCAGACCCCTGGTTCTGCTCTTGCTAGGCCAGAGCACCAACCTGTGCCAGGATCCGTTCCCTCTATATGCAGGAGAAAACAATGGGTGTGAAAATCAGGCCCCTGAGAATGGAAGAGAACTACTGCCCAGAAAAGAAAGGAGGGAGAAGAATGTTGATCTATGAAACCTTGACATAAACTTCCCCACGAGAGGGCACTTCCAAGATCCAAAAGGGTACAGGTGGGGTTTTGGGATAGCTGTCTTCAAGAGAAAGGATGTTAAAGAGCTCTCTACCTTTCCCAGTCCCTGGGAGGACCCTTCCATTTGTGGACTTGATGAAGGTCAAAGAAGAGCAGGTGCAGATGGTTACCACAATGTTCTACCAGTTGGGGACAAGCTGGACACCAGTCAGTAATGAGCAATTGCACTGTGCATAGCTTGCTTTGTACATAACAATAATAGTACTAAAAATAATTGCTATTATAATTCTTTCTCTACCATTTCAGTCTTTTCAACTGCACTGACCTCAACCTATAAGAATTTGGGGGGGATGGTGTGAGCTAACAGATGTGTGGTGCTGAGCTGCCTGCCAGGTTAAAGCACATCATGTTTGACAATCACAGTCCAACAGCGCAAATCACACTTCTAAAAATCTTGGGTTCAGAGAGGAGCAGTAGATGATCAGTTCAGTCTGCCTCAATGAGCACACCCCAGCAGAGACCCTGTTGCCTTGGGGAGCTGTCAGCCCTGAGGCCTTGGGGACACCTCCAGGGAGCCCAAGGGCACAGAGCAAGCGATGCCATCGTCGGCTGCTGTGCTGCTGAGCTGGGCTGGGCTCCTGGGCACAAGGGGAGCTCCTGGCAAGCGCTGCAGAGAGACAGCTGTGCCCAGGAGCAGCTCCTCTGCACAGCGCAGCAGGGCTGGGGGCTCTGACCGCAGCTGGCACACAGAGAGGACAGAAGGAGAGAGGGCTTGGAGGCACTGAGGAGCGCAACAACAGAAGGCAGCGTGTGGCAGGACACATCTGCAGGCTCTTGGTACCATGAGACTCTGGCAGCAGGGCACTGCAGGTGGGGTTGCCAGAGGGGTCTTCTACAGCTGGCACATCCAATGGCTGATAGCATCTGTCAGGATGGGTCTTATTTTACCTGTAATGTGGCATAGAAGATGTTTTACGGAATAGTATTTTTGAGGGGGCATTTTAACAGGAAGATCGAGGCTTGGTTTATCTGAAACAGAAGACTTTCTTGGATTCTGTGCTTCTAGTATGGAGGGGAGGCAGGTTTCATGACGATGAATTGTCTGGATTGTACTGGAGAGAACAACTGAAACCAATGAAGGAAAGGGATCTGCCAACTGTCTAAGTGCAGTTCGGAAAATGCTTTGAGAGGTTTAATTGAAAAATGGATTTTTTTTTTCTCAGATAATCCTGATATATTTTCACTATATTTCTGTTCCCTTAGCAGGACAACATACACAAAACAGGCAAATGCCCAACAGCAGCACCATCACTGAGTTCCTCCTGCTGGCATTCGCAGACACGCGCGAGCTGCAGCTCCTGCACTTCACGCTCTTCCTGGGCATCTACCTGGCTGCCCTCCTGGGCAACGGCCTCATCCTCAGCGCCGTAGCCTGTGACCACCACCTCCACACCCCCATGTACTTCTTCCTCCTCAACCTCGCCCTCCTCGACCTGGGCTGCATCTCCACCACTCTGCCCAAAGCCATGGCCAATGCCCTCTGGGACAACAGGGCCATCTCCTATCAAGGATGTGCTGCCCAACTCTTTCTCTTTGCTTTCTTGTTTGGATCAGAGTATTCCCTTCTCACCGTCATGGCCTATGACCGCTACGTTGCCATCTGCAAGCCCCTGCACTACGGGAGCCTCCTGGGCAGCAGAGCTTGTGCTCAGATGGCAGCAGCTGCCTGGGGCAGTGGCTTTCTCAATGCTGTCCTGCAGACTACCACTACATTTTCCCTTCCCCTCTGCCAAGGCAATGCTGTGGACCAGTTCTTCTGTGAAATCCCTCAGATCCTCAAGCTCTCCTGCTCAAATGCCTACCTCAGGGAAGTTGGGGCACTTGTGTTTAGTATTTCTTTAGCCTTCGGTTGTTTTGTTTTCATTGTGGTGTCCTATGTGCAGATCTTCAGGGCAGTGCTGAGGATGCCCTCTGTGCAGGGCCGTCACAAAGCCTTTTCCACGTGCCTCCCTCACCTGGCTGTGGTCTCCCTCTTTCTTAGCACTGTCATGTTTGCCTACCTGAAGCCCCCTTCCATCTCCTCTCCATCGCTGGATCTCGTGGTGGCAGTTCTGTACTCAGTGCTGCCTCCAGCAGTGAACCCCCTCATCTACAGCATGAGGAATAAAGAGCTCAAGGAGGCACTGAGGACGTTATTGCAATATTCAGTATTTCAAAAAGGAAATGGTCTTCTGCATCTGATTCCCTGAAGTATACCTGGAGAAGGCAGAAACACCTTTGTTCATATATTTCAAAATTACTCATCCTTTTCAATATCATACCAATATTCTAAATAATTTTATAATTTCATTTTATAAATTTAAGATATTTTTCTTCCTCTGTCTTCTTCTAACTTTTCTTTTTACCCAAAGATCTCATGTAGAGGTGCTTCTAAGCTCTTTGTAGCTAACTAAATAAAGGAACCAGCAGGTAGGCAGTTTCTGTGGATCTCATTTCTCATAAACTCTTCTCAGGCACAGCAGTGGTTTTGGGATGAAGATCCCTGCTGCAACGTGCTGGAAAGCCCTGGTGTCCTCCTTTGGGGCTGCCCTTTCTGCCCTGGCAGGCACTCCCTCCCTGCAGCCTTTGGAGGGGACCTCCAAAGCCCATCTAGCCACCCCCACTAGACACGCATGGACACCTACACCAGGCAGCCCAGGCCCATTTCCAGTTGGGTTTGGGGTATCTCCAGTTGAGGAGGACTCCCTCATTTTGGGGAAACCTGATCAAGTGCTTGGTATTGGAAACATGATCCAGTTCTTGATATTGCTCACAGTAAAAGTGTTTTCCTGTGTGCAATTCCCATGTCTTGTCCAATCACCGGGCATTGCTGAGACTGTCAGAGGAAAAGATCTGATAGCAAATCCATGTCTCACAGACAGCTCATAGCAGCAGACAGAGATGAACTAGACATGTTTTCTTGGTATTAGTCAGAACCAAAATGGTCACCGAGGCCTCTGTATTCAGTAAAAAGTGTTCAAGGATGAGAAGAGCATGTATTGATAGGAAGACCATGAAAAGCCACCAGGACAAGGGCCATTTTCTGCCCCTGCGGGGGACTGACCCTGGGCAAGGCCCAGCTTGGGAAGCAGCTGCGTTGGACGTTCATGGTGGGCAGTGAGCTGGGCAGGAGGCAGCCATGTGCCCTGGGAGCACAGGAGGGAAGGCTGAGGGACACCTCACCGCAGCCTGCCAGGAGCTGCAGGGATGTCAGGAAGAGCCCCCACGGGGCCAGGCTGTGCCCTGTGATGTGCAGGGAGCCCTCCTCTTGCCACTCTGCATGCGCTGGCTGCAGTAGAGGGGACCCCCAGCCAGCCCCTGCATGGGGCATGGGGCTGTGCCACCCGCCTTGCCCCGGGTTTGACTCCTTGTCTCTGCCGGGCCCCACCTTCCACACCCAAATGTGTCCCTTGGTTGTCGGCTCCCTTTCCACTGCCCTGTGGGAATACCAAACAGGGGCGGACAGGTTACCATTAGGTGTGCTGGTGTTTGTGTAATTCACATTGGTGATGGCACAAATGACGGTTCCTTCACCAGTGATGCACATCCTTCTTCATGTTAGGCCAAACTCAACGTCCTTCTCTCTGCTTTTCCTTACGGATGAACTGGATTAGGTCTCCTTGATTATTCTGAGGCACAATGCAATGCTTTTTGCCTTCTGCTACTCCAGCACAATATTTGTGACTTTCCCTTACTCTGCACATTGACCTGCAGGGTCATTCCATATTGGTTGCTTTCAAAATGTTATTTGGACGGGGGCCATTTGCAAAGTGGGGCAAGCTGATGGGTTCTGCCTCAGCCATTTCGAGCATGCTATACTTGAGTTTTTCAGCCTGAGTTTGCTAAAGATGACCGAGGAAGGTAAACGGATGTTCACATGTCTAGTAGGAATAAGGGAGAGTATCTCAGGTTTCCAATGGCCATTTCAAATCTAGGTCAGTACCAGGACACCACTGAAGAAGAGGTTTGTCTTTGAAGGGGTGTTCCTGTGCTGGGCTGGGCTGCAGTTGCAGGGACAAAGACCACTGCTGGCAGTGGAGGTGCCCTGGGAACTCCACCTGGCTCCACCTGATTTTCCCAAAGGGCTCTGGCATCCTGCAGGTCTTTAATGACATCTGCCAGTCCAGGGAAGTGCCTGAAACACAACGAGGCCACTGGAGGTTTTCCTTGGTTGCTTATGGTCAGACAGGTGAATGTCCCCTTTCCCAGCATCCTGTCTGGACCTATGCACTTCCCATCATTCTCCTGGTTTGCCCTCCTCTTACCGTTTAATCATTCAGACCACTCTCACCAACCCAGTTGCTGCTTTGAGTTTCAGTGAGTTCAAGCTCGTCCATCTCTCAGCAGTCTGTCTAATGGTGTCCTTAGTAAGACCCTCATCATTTATCATTGAATTAGTATGATATGGATTAATATTAACACAATTATCTGAAATTTCCTATTACCCACTGAAAAATAAATCATGTACCGTCATCCTTTTGGGAAGGTAACCATCACTGGAGGCAACAAAACAAGGAATTTGAACTTTTTTTTTTTTTTTAAACAGCAGCATAATTTCCTGTTGTTTGTTTTGAAATAGGAAAACCCCTGTTCTTTCCATCTAAGCAGGACTTCAAAGGAGAAACCCTAGACCAATACCTATAGGAGAATGATGCTCTCAACTGAAACACAACAAAATTCAGCCTTTAAAATGAAGAAAGATTCTTATTAGATGCTCTTTGAAATCTTCCTCCTTAACTAGAACATGAAAGCGCTCCAATTAACTGAACAAGTCTTGACGACTTGAAGAAAATGGTGGGTGAGATATGGCTCCTTAGGAGTTTCTGTGTTTTAATGAGTTCCATGGAGTATTTTGGTGCTGAGTCAATGAAACTTGGGTACTGAGAAGAGGATGATGCACCTGTGTGAAAAAGCAAATGCAAAAGGAAAAGCTGAAGTGACTTGGAGTTTTAATCAGCCCCACTGAGGGCTGTTACTAACAAAGCTTCCCCAGGGACATGTTAGGACAGATAATTGGAGACCATGGTTACAGACAGGCAAAGCACTGTGCTGAGAAAAGTCTTGGTTTGTTTTGGTGAAGCAAAAGGGCCAAGGCCTGACCCCAGTCACTGCGAGGAGAGATCCTGCATCCCCCTGTCTGGATCAGGACTTTTCTTGGGGATCTGAGGAATGCGATGGGCGGTGTGATGCCATGAGAAGAACACTGGTGTGACACCACCCTGCCTCTGCACAGGGTTGCAAGGAATTAAACACTGCAATGACTTTATCTCATTTCCTCATAAGCTCTAGCTAAAGTGACAGGGCTGTTGGGTCCTTCCATTCTTGCCAGCACACTGCCTTCTCCTCTGCATGATTTAAAATGCTGTCCCACACTTTTTCCTACTTCCTGGAAGTCTGCAGACACTCATCTCTCTTCACTGCCTTGCACTCATCCCAGCACTTCCATCATTTCACAAATGTCTCATCAAACCTCACCAGCTGTTCCTTGAAAAACAAAGCTAGGGTCTGATCGTAGATACTCACCAGCACCTTCCAAGCCAGGGGCCTGCTGCTGGCCTTGAAGCTTCTTGGCTAGACACAGCCAAGCTTTGTGCCTCCTGCTGCCCAGTCATGGACTCAAGCAGAAGGGACGGGACAATCCATCTGGGGGCCTTCTTTCTGTCTGGGTCGTCCTGGCTCTGGAGGCAGAGGGGATCCCCCAGTCAGCATGCCAAGCAGGTGCCTTCTGCTGGCCTAGCAGGGCCACTGCCAGATGTCAGCCCAAAAGTGTAGATCCCAGGTCTATGTCAAGGGTGACCTGTCAGCTGCTTCAGGCAGAAGTGACCTCCCAGTCCCTTTGCGTGACACGTTCCTGCTGCTGCCCAATCAAGTGCAGAGACAGAAGTGACCTCACAGTCCCTGCCACAGTCACATTGCTCCTGCTGGGGCAGGAGATCCTGAGGCAGAGCTCATCTCTCCCTTGTCCTCTGTGGACTGGGGCTCACCTTTCTGGTTTAGAGAGTAAAGAAAGATATAGTTGTAAGGTTTGGTGTTCTGTTTGTGGTGTCAGGTCTCTGGTTAGGGTATGGGCAAACATTATGGCTTAGGGTTTTGTTTAGGTTTGTGAAGAAGTCTAGGGATAAATAGAGCATTTTAATATTAGTTTTAAGGGTGGGGATTAGGGTGAGCAAGAGAGGAAATGTAAGAAAAAGGGGCTATGCGCTGAGCTTTTCTTTAGGTAATATTTTGATTTCTGCTTTCCAATAGTGGATTCCTGTCAGGATGTTGCACTAATGTTTAGGTTGAGGGATTCTGTTGAAAATAGTTTACAAGCCCTACACGACTGTTTGAAATGAGTTTTACAGCAGTGTGGGTAGTTAAGGTCTGGCGGCCGGAAGATGTCGCGATGTACGGAAAGGTGGAGCCCCTCCCTTGATGGACAGTGGCGTGTGGCCTGTGCTGTAAGCAAGCGGAAGTGACGCTGTGGGCCTCGGCTATATAAGCCCATGTGACTCGACAATAAACGCCATTTGCCATCCACCACATTGGTGTCTGTGAGCCGATGGACCGAGCGGCCTGGGGTTGGCCGCCGTGCCGTTCCTGAACCAGGTCGCCACTGCCCCCTGAAGGCAACACAGCAGCATCAACATTACATGAACCCTCTTACCTCTACAAAGGTAAGCTTCTGAGCTCCTCTTCACTTCCTCTTCCCGCACCCCAATCTGACATCTCTCCTGGCCAGGCTACTCCTGACCTCGCCATATCAGTCATCTAACTGGGATCAGCTTTCTGATGGCTGTCATTATATCAAAGTACCTGTCTCTCCTCTGTTGGCTACTCTATTCTGTGGTATTAGACTGCTCTAGACTCCAGACTCTAGACTCTGTTGGCTATTCTGGTCTGTTACTATGAAAGCCTCCTGTGGGAATTTTTAGGGCAGATAACTAAAAGCCATGATTACAGACAGGCAAAGGCACTGTGCTGAGAAATCTTGGTTTGTTTTGGTGACTCAGAAGGGTCAAGGCCTGACCCCGGGAGGGGAGATCCTGGCCCAGGAGGGGAGATCCTGCACCCCCAGCATCCCCATGTCTCGCTCTTCCTGGGGTCTGTGTGTCAGGGGGTGATACCCACAATACCATATGTGAAGGACAATGGTATAACACCTCCCAGTGTTTGCAAAGGTTTGAAAGGAGAATTCATGGTCCCAATGCCATGAGTATAACATGTCTCCTTATAAGCCAAGGCCAAGGGGACAAAGATGTCAGTGCTGCTGAAGCCTTCCATTCTTGTCAGAGCCCTCTGCCTTCTCCTCTGCACGCTTTCCTATGCTGTCTCTCACTTCCCTGAAGGCTGCAGAAGACTGCAAACCGACAGTTCTCTTCCAAACATTGCTTTCACTCTGCTATTTCCATGATTTCACTGCTGCATCTCTATTCTCACCAGCTGTTCCTTCAAACACAAGGGCATGGGCTGATCCAAACTCCCTCTGGGTGACCTCTGGACCCACGGCGCAAGTGTCAGTGCCTCACCTCCAAGTCAAGAATTTCATCTATCTAATCTAAATCTACCCTCTTGAAGTTTAAAACCATTCTCCTTGTCCAATGATAGAGTCATAGAAATCATAGAAACACAAATTTGGAAAGGACCTACAAGACCATTTAGTCCAACCTTCCTATCACTAATACTACCCACTAAGCTACTGAGCCATATCTCCTAGCATCTTGTTCTGGTGCTTCTTGAACACTGTGATGGTCAGTGAGTCCACCACCTCTCTGAGCAGACCATTCCAGTTCCCGACTACTCTTTGAGAGAAAAAGATTTTTGTGATACCTAATCTAAACATCCCCAGGCACAACTGATGGCCATTTCCTCAAGTCTTATCATTAGTTATCTGAGAGAAGAGGCCAACCCCCGCCTTACATCAACCTCTCTTCAGGAAGTTGTAGAGTGCAATAAAGTCTCCCCTGAGCCTCCCCTTCTGCACACTAAACAATCCCAGTTCCCTCAGCCAATCCTCATAAGACCTGTGCTCCAGAACCCTCAACAGTTTGGTTGCCCTTCTCTGGACATGTTCCAGGACCTCAATGTCCTTTTGTAACAAGGGTCCAAACCTGAACACAGTGCTCAAGGTGTGGCCTCACCATAACAGAGTACAGGGGGATGATCACCTCCCTGCTCCTGCTGGCTGATTTATTTCTAATACAGGCCAGGATGCCCTTGGCCTTCTTGGCCACCTGGGCACACGGCTGGCTCGTGTTCAGCTGAGCATCCATCAACACTCCCAGGTCCGTTTCCTCTTCACAGTCTTCTAGCCACTCTGCCCCAAGTCTATGGCACTGCATGGAGTTATTGTGGCCAAAGTGCAGGACCCTGCACTTGGCCTTGTTGAACCTCATCCCATTCACCTCAACCAAGCAATCCAGCCTATCCAGATCCCTCTGAAGGGCCACCTACATATCATCAGGCATATCAACACTACCTCCCAACCTCATGTCATCTGCAGACTTACTGAGGGTTCACTCAATTCCGTCATCTAGGTCATCAATGAAGACCTTAAACAAGATAGGTCCCAGTACCGACCCCTGGGGGACACCACTTGTAACAGGATGCCAGCTGGACTAACCAAAAATATTGGTTAAAAGCACTGAGGAAGGCTTTAAGGGCTTTGTATGGACAGCAAAGTCCATACAAAGTTACTGTACTGGGTCTGGCTGGGATGTTAACTTTCCCTGCAGCAGCCCATACAGGGCTGTGCTCTGCACGTGGAGCTAGAACAGCAGTGGGATCACACCAGTGTTGTGTCTGCTGCTGAGCAGTGCTCGCACAGCATCAGGACTCTCTCTAACCCTCCCAGGGGGTGGGGAAAGAAGTGTGGGAAATACATTTGTGGGAAGTAGAGAGTAATTTCTTTCCTCTGCACTTCCACATACCCTTGATTTGATTTGTTTGATTGTCTGTTTGTGTTTCCCTTTCCCCCTCCCTTTTCCCCTTCTTTTTCCCTTTAGTTAAATAATTTAGTTCATAATAATCTCTATTCTCTATTAATAATAATAATGATTATTTTTTCCCTTTAATTAAATTATCCATATCTCAATCAGTGAGTTGTTCTTTTCTTTACTTCTTCCCCTTTTCATCTAAGGAGGGGGAGTGAGAGCGCGGTTGTGGTGTTTAGCTGCCCAGCATGGTAACACCTCCACACTTCTGCCCCAGCAAGAGGAATGTGACTGTGGCAGGGACTGTGAGGTCACTTCTGCCTCTGCACTTGATAGGACAACAACAGGATCATGTCACGCAAAGGGACTGTGAGGTCACTTGTGTCTGGAGGTGGCAGATCAGCCTGGACTTCTCCCTGGGATCTACACTTTTGGGCTGACATCTGGCAGTGGACCTGCTAGGCCAGCAGAAGGCACCTGCTTGGCATGCTGACTGGGGGATCCCCTCTGCCTCCAGAGCCAGGAGGACCCAGACAGAAAGAAGGCCCCCAGATGGGTTGTCCTGTCCCTTCTGCTTGAGTCCATGAGTGGGCAGCAGCAGGCACAAGGTTTGGCTGTGTCTAGCCAAGAAGCTGCAAGGCCAGCAGCAGGCCCCTGGCTTGGAAGCTGCTGCTGAGGTGACTTGTGTCAGCTTGGCTGACAGGCCAGAAATAGCCTGCTGGGTTGGGATGCCTACTTCAGGAGTGGTTTCCTATGTGATGGAGCTTCTTTTGGCAGTAGGAAAATGCAGGAGAGAAAAAAAATCAATGAAAACCACCCTAGAAGGTTGGCACTGGCCATGAGGTGTAGGAAATGTCCAGGGGAAGAACTCGTCTTGCTGCTACAGGCTGAGGCAAAGAAGGCATTAAGTACCTTATCCTTTACCTCATCTCTTGTCACCACGTTTTCCCCCAAAAATCCTATAAAGAATGATGATACTCCTTAATCCGCCTTTATTTTAGGTATTTATATAAATATATTTTTTATTGTCTTTGACAATAATAGATGGATTGAGCTCCACCTGGGCTTTGGCCCTTCTAATTTTGACCTGCACAGCCCCATATCATTCAGGACATAGCTCCAGACAAACTGACAGTATGCATGAGAAGAAAGCACAGTAAATGTGGAACCTTCCATCCCCTGCCCTTGAGTGACTGTGCTACAATTCCATTCAACTGGTTACTCCTGAATTATCCAAATCTCCCTGGAATGCTTCCTGCTGCTGCTGTCTGTTCAGAGATAGCACAATCACACGAAGGTTGAACTGTCTGCCTACTGATATTAACAGCTGATAGAATGGAGCATCACTGTGGGTGAACCTTGAGAAGCTGCAGGATTTTGCCTACAGAAACCTCTTGACATTTAGAAGGAGAAGAGCCCAGTCCTGTACCAGAGGAAGAGAAACCCCACACATCAGGGCAGACTGGGACCCTGCTGAGTGAGCAGTGGCCAGGAGGAGGAGGGCCTGGGCACCACAAGGGATGCCATATGAGCAGAGGTGCCTGCTCACAAGGAAGCAGGCCAGCTTCCTACAGAGCTGCCTTGTGAGATATTTGTGTCCATGGCTATGGCTATTGTCTCTGCCACTAAAGCCTTTGAGGAGAAAGCTAATCACTAAAGCAACAGATCCTAATTAACTCCTCACCCACCCATGAACCAGGCAGGGGTCATACCATTGTCCTGCACTTTGTAATGCACATCCCCATCTTCCAGTGTCCCAGGAAGAGCCCTAAGCAAGGTGTGAAGGGAAAGGATCTCCCTTCCTTGAGTGGGGAGTCATGGCCTGACCCTTGTGCTTGGTGACATACATCCAGTTTTCCTACACATCAGTGTCACCTTCACATTGCCTTTGTCTCCTTGTCCTCACTGCCTCCAGGCTCTAACAAGCTCCAAGGGAGGCTGTGTCAGTGCCAGCCCTCAGGGGGACACTGCAGGAAACTTGCCTCTGATTTGGATTTCTGGAGAGATGTCTTCAATTGTCTCTGAGTGCCTGAGGTTCGTGGGCTCATCAGCAAAGCCCCCAGAGGGGTGATTGCAGTGCCTTGGGCTGGTGCTGTGCTGCTGAGCTGGGCCGGACTCGTGGGACAGAGAGAGCTCGTGGCAAGAGGGCCCTGGTGCAGAGAGACAGCTGTGACCAGGAGCAGCTCCTCTGCACAGTGCAGCAGGGCTGGGGGCTCTGACCGCAGGTGGCACCCAAGTAGAAAGGGATTCCAGGCAGCATGGAGGGTGTGCGCAAAGGAGACCTCAGTACAGGAGAACATGGAAGTTTTCACTTCGATTGCAGCAGAATGCCCAGGATTTATGCCTTAAAAACACTCCTCAGGTGTGGTGGGGCAGCAGAACATAGAGTACAAATAAAAACAAACAAGAAACAAATAAATAAATAAATAAATCTCCGTGATGAAGAGATCTCGTCTGCTCTGTGATGAACTAGGAGTAAAAATGGGTTAATCCCTTCGATAGCAGGAGTGAAGTGAATCTAAGATTACCCCATATTCCTACCATGTTGCTACCTAGAGCTGTAGTGCAGGACTGATTCTTCCACTGCCCACAGAAGAGCACTCTTCTCCCAGAGAAACTCGGAATCATCTGGAAGTCATTAAAGGGAACTTCAAAATAACTGCCTGCAAGTTGAAAGTCTTTTTGATGCTTTTAAATGAGAAAATTGAATTATCCTCTGGTAAGTCTGTTATGTATTACATGTATTACTGTTTTTCTCTTTGTGCAGGACCACATCACAGAAATAACAGATGTCCAACAGAAGCTCAGTCACTGAGTTCCTGCTCCTGGCATTCACAGACACACGCGAGCTGCAGCTCCTGCACTTCACGCTCTTCCTGGGCATCTACCTGGCTGCCCTCCTGGGCAACGGCCTCATCCTCAGCGCCGTAGCCTGCCACCACCGCCTCCACACCCCCATGTACTTCTTCCTCCTCAACCTCGCCCTCCTCGACCTGGGCTGCATCTCCATCACTCTGCCCAAAGCCATGGCCAATGCCCTCTGGGACACCAGGGCCATCTCCTATCAAGGGTGTATTGCTCAAGTCTTCTTTTTATTCTTCTTGTTTGGTTCTGAATACTATCTCCTCACCGTCATGGCCTACGACCGCTACGTTGCCATCTGCAAGCCCCTGCACTACGGGAGCCTCGTGGGCAGCAGAGCTTGTGCCCAGATGGCAGCAGCTGCCTGGGGCAGTGGCTTCCTCAACGCTGTCCTGCACATGGCCACTACAGTTTCCCTGCCCCTCTGCCAAGGCAATGCCCTGGACCAGTTCTTCTGTGAGATCCCCCAGATCCTCAAGCTCTCCTGCTCAGATGCCTACCTCAGGGAAGTTGGGGCTCTTGTGTTTAGTGTTTCTTTATGCTTTGGTTGTTTTGTTTTCATTGTGGTGTCCTATGTGCAGATCTTCAGGGCAGTGCTGAGGATGCCCTCTTCTCAGGGCCGGCACAAAGCCTTTTCCACGTGCCTCCCTCACCTGGCCGTGGTCTCCCTGTTTGTCAGTACTGCCATATTTGCCTACCTGAAGCCTCCCTCCATTTCCTCTCCATCCCTGGACCTGGTCTTTGCACTTCTGTACTCGGTGGTGCCTCCAGCAGTGAATCCCCTCATCTACAGCATGAGGAACCGGGAGCTCAAGGATGCAATGAGGAAACTGTTTCCATACATGCTTCTTAAGCATCCATGATGTGTTCAGAAGATGTATTCTTAATAATGTGCAAATATTTTGATTCACATTATATCATATCATTTTTATCGTTACTACTGTTATCATAAAATTGTCATTAATAAGGATCCCAAGAGAAATCAAAGGGTATTTGGGAAAATGAAACGTTTTTAAAATTATTTTTCTCTGTTAGTATTTTAACAATATTTCATTTTGTTTTTAATAATCTCATTCTTGCCATTCAGAATGTTACTTCTTGCGTTAGGTTTGACCACATCATCTAATGCACATACAGAACCAGGATTCCTTGGTAGATAAAGACAATAAAGATGTCAGCGGAAATTCATCGGTCTCAGTGTCCTTCTCTTCCCATCTGCTCTGGAGATGGGGGAGCAGCCCCAACCTCAAGGAGGGGCTCAGGGCCAAGAGCCCAGCTGTCACAGGTAGGAGCAGTGTATTTGGATTCGACCTTGTGGATCTAGGTGACAGTCCTGTCGTCTCTATAGCAGGGCCAGCACAAAGCTTTTTCCATGAGCCTCCCTCACCTGGCCATGGTGTCCGTCTCCCTCAGGCCTGTCATGGTTGCCTACCTGAAGCTCCCTCCATCTCCTCCCCATCCCTGGACCTGGTGGTGGCAGTTCTGTACTCAGTGGTGTCTCCAGCAGAACATGTCCCCATCTGTAATGTGAGGATTCAGGAGCTCAAGCATGCTCTGTGGAAATTGATGATTAGATGTGTCTTGAATGCAAGAAATTTCTGATCTGCTTCTGCACATGACTTGCAATGTCAATAATTGGATGAATAGCCAATATACCTGTTTTGTTTTGTTTTGTTTTCATGGTTGTGTTTGTGCATATTCTTATTACATTAATTCAGCTAATGAACACCCATTAAAATCATATGGATGTGCCTTCTGAATATTGCTTATAGACTCTGTGCATGTGAAGCCATGCTCTCTGTGAATTTAACCTTAAGCAAGTTAAGATTTAACTGCCTATTTTGTCTGACATCTGTCCTCTGAGACCAGGCCTGGCTCTGCAGGGACAGTGCCCATGTGCAGGGCTGCAGAGGAAAAGAGTCCCATCCCAGCAGCACGGCCAGGGAGCACCAGCGCTTGGGGCATGCAGAGCTGCTCTCTTGCCACTGCTGCCCTGTCCTGCTGAGCCCTCCTGGTGGGCTCAGGCCTGGCTGCTCCTGGAGCTTGGTACCAGTGCTGCTGTGGGGCTGTGCTGGGACTGCAGGCAGGGACAGGCAGTGGGCACGGCAGTGGCACAGCTGGCCTCCACTGCAGCACTTCCCTCCTAAGGGGGGATCTTCTCCAAGGTGGACTGAGCAGAACTCAAGTGCTCAGTCTGGTGTGAGCAGGCAGAGGAGAGCTCTGCAGCCCCAGAGCATGCAGCAGCCCCAGCAAAGGAGCCTGGCGAGTGATTCCTTGCAGCCCTGGGGCAATGGCAGTGACCCCATGAGCTGGGTCTGCCTCCCAGCCTGCCCAGCACGGCCGTGCAGAGTGCCCCCCTGCCCCGGGCACCACAGCCCCCTCGCTCTGCAGAACAGCACCACCAGCTGGGGCTGGGGCTGGGGCTGGGAGGGTGCTTCCCCTGAGTGTCTTCTAGGCCAGCTTCAGGCTTCTGGACTTGAGTGTGATCTCCACTGTGCACTAGGAGCTGAGAGACCACCAAGAGGCATGGGGCTACAACATTTCCTGCAAGGTTCCTCCTGCCCTAGCACCACACAGGACTGGCATGGAACTGGCTCCTGTGTGTCAGAGAGGCTGGCAGCCCAGAAGGTATGCCATGAGCTTGGAGGATCACAACCAGATCATTTCTACCTGGGCAGGTCCTGGCCCAAAAAGGGGGTGTTTTGTAGGTGTGATATTATAAGCTCAGTGGTGCGTCAGAAACACTAAGTCCACCAGGAAGCGAATGGCTCTTAAATGGCCTGTGAGTTGAGCTCTTTCTGAAGTAGCTGACAGGTTACCCTTGACTCCTGGCTGGGATCTGTGCCTTTAGGCTCACATCTGCCAGTGTCCATGGTAGGGCAGCAGAAGGCACTTGCTGTGCATGTAGTTTCTGAGATCGGTTCTTTCTAAGTACCTGGTAGGCCCCATAGAGGAAGAGGTCTTGGATAGGGGTTGTCATGTCAGAGGTGTCAGCTTTTGCCTGAAGTCATCATTTAGGACTGTTTTCAGTTTTCTACACAGAGGGGACCACTGCCTCCAAGACACTAGGGGCAAACTGAACGATGCATGAGGGTTTGGGGAAAGGTACCCTGGGTGCAAAGAAGGCATTCTGTATCCAGAAGTTGGAGGCAGGAAACAAAATTTTGCGGGTGGTACAAGAACTGCAGGCCACATTGTGCAGGGTTCACCTACAGCTTTGGGTTATTTTCCATCCTGACTTAGGAGTCATTTCAGTCTCAAAAAAGGAGTAGGCAACAGATGTGAGGCACGTACTCTGAGGTCATGAAAGCCATCAGAAAGCTGCCCCTATGAAGATGACTGATATGGGGAAGTCAGGAGAAGCCTGGCGAGGAGAGATGTGAGATTTGGAGTAGGGAAAAGGAGTTTGGCCAGCAGAAATTAAAGATTTCTGTGAGGTTAGAACATTCAGGCAATGTTGATTCTGCTGTAACTGTGATTTAAATAGTCATGTAAAGCCCTTCCCCTATTTTAACTAGTGACATTAATCTGCAAACGTAAATGCTACTCCACACCCTGCAGGAATCCACTACTCTTAAGCCTGATCTCAAAGTATCCCTTGAAGCCAAAACTCAGCCCATAGCCCCTTTCCCTTACCTTTACTCTTTTGCTCACCCAGATCTGATCCGCTTGTGGGCCAAAAGAAGGAGATGGTGGGAATCCTCTGAAGAGCTCAGCTCTGCCTCAGCATCTCCTGCCCCAGCAGCAGGAATGCGACTATGGCAGTGACTGGGAGGTCACTTCTGTCTGTAGGTGGCAGGTCAGCCTTGACTTCTCCCTGGGATCTGCACTTTTGGGCTGACATCTGGCAATGGCCCTGCTAGGCCAGCAGAAGGCACCTGCTTGGCATGCTGACTGGGGGATCCCCTCTGCCTCCAGAGCCAGGAGGACCCAGACAGAAAGAAGGCCCCAACATGGGTTGTCCTGTCCCTTCTGCTTGAGTCCATGGCTGGGCAGGAGGAGGCAGAAGGCTTGGAAGATGCGGCTGAGGTGACTTGTGTCTGCTTGGCTGAGAGGCCGCAAGGAGCCTGCTGGGTTGGGATGCCTACTTCAGGAGTAGTTTCCACCCTGATGGAGCTTCCTTTGGTAGTAGGAAAGAGCAGGAGATTTTAAAAAAAAAAAAAAAAAAAACTGCCACAAAATGTTCCATGGAAGGCTGGCACTGGTCACAAGGAGGAAGAAATTTCCCTCAAGATGTCATGCAATGGTTCTATACGTCACCCTCTGATAAGACCCTGGCTTAGTGTTTCAAGGAACAGCTGCTCAGGGCTGATCAGATATCGGTGAAAGCAAGGCATGAAAGCAAGATGGTGAACTGAGATGGGTGTCTGCAGACTTTAAGAAAATAGGGTGATGTGTGGGACAGCATAGGAAAGCCTGCCAAGGAGAAGGCAGAGGGTGCTGGCAAGAATGGCAGGCCCCAACAGCCCTGAATTTTTTGTCCCCTTGGCTAGAGCTTATGAGGAGATGTTATATTCATTGTGATGGGGCCTCATGGATTCCTTTCAACCCTGTGCAACAGCTCAGAGGTGTCATACCAGTGTTCTTCTCATGGCATCACACTGCCCATCACAGCCCACAGACCCCAGCAAGAGCCTTGACCCAGACATAGGGGTGCAGGATCTCCCCTTCCAGTGGCTCTGGTCAGGCCTTGGCTCTTCTGTTTCACCAAAACCAACCAAGATTTTTCTCAGTGCAGTGCTTTGCCTTTCTGCAATCATGGAGTCCAATTATCCACCCTAACGCATCCCTGGGGAGGCTTTGTTAGTAACAGCCCTCACTGGGGCCCATTAATACTCCAAGTCACTTCAACTTTTCCTTCTGACTTTACTTTCTCTAGCAGTTGCATCATTCTCCTCTCAGTACCTGAGCTTCATAGACTGAGCACCAAAATACACCATGGAACTCATTAAAATGCAGAAACTCCTAACATCTCTTCCATAGTTTTCTTCAAGGCTTCATGCCTTGTGTAGCTAATTACAGAGCTTGCATGATGTAGTCAAAGAAGATTTCAAAAAGCACCTAATAAAAAATCTTTTGTACTTTTAAAGGTTGAATTTTGCTGCATTTCAGTTTTGAGCATCATTGTCCTCTTGCTATTGATCCAGGGTGACTTCTTTGGAGACCTCCATAGGGAGGAATAGCAGAGTCTGGAAGTCTGACACCTCCACTGCCAGCAGTGGTCTTTGTCCCTGTAACTGCAGCCCAGCCCTGCACATGACAGCCTTTCTAAGACAAGTCACGTGTTTTTTGTTTTTTTTTTTTTGATAAAATAAAATAAAATAAAAAATAAAATAAAATAAAAAATAGAATAAAATAAAACAATAAAATGAAATAAAATAAAATAAAATAAAATAAAATAAAATAAAATAAAATAAAATAAAATAAAATAAAATAAAATAAAATAAAAAATTGAAATGACAATTGAAACCAGAGAAATTCAGATTAAATATTAGTAGGTACCTGGTCATCCATGGTCTCTCTTGGGTCTTCTGTAGAAAACTCGGGATGAAAGGATACTCTGAGGTCAGGTATTACTGCAGGGGATTTCTGTCAAGGTGTTGAAGCAACATTCAGGTTTTGGGATTAGGGTTACTGGTCAAAATAGGGTAAGGGTTTTACATGACTGTTTTAAGACAGTTTTAAAGCACCATCAATATTACATGAAACCTCTTACCTCTACAAAATCATTAATTTCTGCTTCTGTTGCCTTCAGGGGACAGTGGTGACCTGGTTCAGGAACGGCACGGCGACCAACCCCAGGCCGCTCGGTCCATCGGCTCACAGACACCAATGTGGTGGATGGCAAATGGCATTTATTGTCGAGTCACATGGGGTTATATACCCGAGGCCCATAGAGTCACTTCCACTTGCTTACATCACAGGCCACACGCTACTGTCCATCAAGGGAGGGGCTCCACCTTTCCGTACAGCGCGACATCTTCCGGCCGCCAGACCCTAACTACCCACATTTCCCCCCTCCCTATGCACAACCAAATTAGCTAAAATATAACAATCTTAAGACGTAGACATCATAACTTAACTAAAAAACGTAAGGCACAATAACCAGGAGAAAACTAAGAGGTA